GAAGAAGGTGTTCTGCTAAGATGAGACCAAAACTGAACATTTTGGCCTAAAAGCAAAACGCTATATGTAGCGGAAAACTAACTAAACCTTGATCACACTATCCCAACTGTGAAACATGGTGGTGGCATCATCATGTTGTGGGTATGCTTTTCTTCAGCAGGGACAGGGAAGCTGGTCAGAGTTGATGGGAAGATGGATGGAGCCAAATACGTACATGGAAATCTTAGAAGAAAACCTGTTAGAGTCAGCAAAAGACTTGAGACTGGGACAGAGGTTCAGCAGGACAACGACCCTAAACATACAGTCAGAGCTACAATGGAATGGTTTAGATCAAAGCATATTCATGTGTTAGAAAGGCCCAGTCAAAGTCCAGACCTAAATCCAATTGAGAATCTGTGCAAAACTTAAACATTTCTGTTCACGGATGCTTCTCATCCAATCTGACAGAGCTTGAGCTATTTTGTAAAGAAGAATGGGTAAAAATTTCACTCTCTAGATGTGCAAAGCTGGTAGAGAGATCCCCAAAAGACTTGCAGCTGTAATTGCAGCGAAACATGTTTCTGCAAAGTATTGACTCCGGGGTCTGAATACAAATGCACGCCACAATTTTCACATATTTGTTTGTACAAAATGTTGAAAACCCTTTATCATTTTCCTTCAACTTCACAATTATGTGCCACTTTGTGTTGATCTATCACACAAAATCCCAATAAAATACATTTATGTTTTTGGTTGTAACATGACAAAATGTGGAAACTTTCAAGGGGTATGAATACTTTTTCAAGGCACTGTACTTTATCACCCGACTACAGTTCACCTGACTACTGCTTCCCTCTTCTGTCTGGGAAGAAATAACTCACATTTTTTCAAAGATCAGTTTGTTGTTAGGCTGACATAGAGCAGTCTGTTCAAAACAGGCTTAAAAGCTGTGGTACAAATATGTTAACATTATTAATTCTTCTTATACAAAAGAAAATTATTCATTTTCCTAGCTGCAATCTATAGAAAAATCAATCTGGCCAAAAGAGACTGCAAGTTTATCAGAAAATTTTTAAAATTTGTCTTTTTTCAGTCTGCAAAAAAGGAAGCCATTTTTTTTGTAGTCGTGGATGCAGTCTGCTTACTCTTTCACTCTATCCAATGAAGGCTTGAAAAGTGTGGTGCATTTCTGACCTTCTAGGCCATATAGGCTTAATATCTGTGGTGCAGATCTATAACATTTTCCCATCTTTGGTCTTCAAAACCTGGCACTATTTTTTAGTTCTACATGCAATCTCCTATCTCTTTCTCAGAAATTGTGGCCTATCAAATTAAAAGCTTCAGAGGTGAACTGTAAATATTGTTTTTTCTTTCAGTTTAAAACAAATATTGATCATTTTCTATTTCCAGATGCAATATTCCTGTTCAATCCCTAAGAAATTACAGCCCAAATTCCTAATATCTGTGGTGCAAATATGTAAATGTTTTCCCTCTTCAGACTCTGAATAAGGTCACTCAGTTTTTATTTCCAGATGTAGCATGTTGCCCAATCACTCAGGAATTGCAATCTGTTCATACTGTCTTCATACCTGTGGTCAAATCTGTAATCTCTTTCTATATATGTATATCTTCAGTCTCCTAAAAAAAATCATTTATTTTTTAGTTCCAGATGCCATTTACTTGCTCTATCCCTCAGAAAAGCCTTTAACCCTTTTGCTGCCAGGCCCTGCGCTCCACTTAAACTCAGGTGGCCAGGCCATTTTTGCAATTTTTTCATTGTTTTTTATTTTTCTCTTATAGCTTTCAGAGATTGTGTAAGGCCCTCCAAACCATGTCTTTTCTACTACTGATTTTTTAGGCCCTGTGATGTGTTTCTCAAAACAATATTTTCACTAAAAATACACTAAAATAATTTTTATTGGATACATACATGTCAAAATTTACAAAATTCCTGCTAAATATAAAAGTTAAAACTGTATTTAGTTAATAAATAACAAATACATTGTAAATTTTAAATTGTGCCTTTTTGTGAAATGATGAAAACGGAATGTGCGCAAAACTGCTCCCAATCTGACATCTGTTTGGGTGCATGACTCCAAATACAGACAGCATGAGCTCAGGGACATGCACGTGGACCTACATGAATGACAAATTGGGAGCAAGAGCTGTGTTTGTGCAGCTGCTACATCCCAAATGACATCAATGGGACTGCCTGCACAAAGATGCACAGAACACCTGTATATCCCTGTGCAAGTAAACACAGCTTTGCAGAGCAATATGCTCTCTATGCCCTGTGTGAACAAGGCCTTACTATTAGGGCTGCACTGACACCGTGCCCATACCGAGTATTTTCATGAGTATTCGTATATGTGAAAATGCTCCTGATACCCGAAACAGATACTTTATGGGGCTATTTGCGTTCATACAAAATGACTGGGCGCAAATCGCACTGCAAAGAATGGCATGTGATTGGAACAGAAATGCGGTGTGATTCCTGTCTGAATCGCATGTGTCACGTACCTACTGACGTTTGCTCTATGGATCCACAGACCGGGATTCCCCGGGGCGTGGAGTCTAAGCCCCAGTCTGCTTGTTCACCAGAGCCCCTGATGGTGGGGATAGACTTGGAGCAGGCTGAGACCAGGTCGCGGCCCCTGGGTACACCCAGCTGTAGTAGAGGAAACTGCCAGTGGCACGTAGCTGGAATAAGAGCCTGATGTGAGGAGGCTAAGCGGGCCTTGACAGAAATGGATGGATCCGTGCAGGATGGATGGACGGAACACACTGTGAACAGTAGCAGAGTCAGACAGGCCGGGTCAGTATCAATGGAGGCAGAACGGAACAGAGCTGCAGGCAGACAATCGTCAGGTCACAAGCCAGGTTCAGCAGCAGGAGATCAGATAATCAGGGACAGGCAGAAGAATGGTCAAACGAGCCAGGAGTCAAGGCAGGAGATGGTCAGCAGTAATCAGGATCAGGCAGGGTTCTGCAACAACAAGATACTCTCACAGGAACAGGATATACAGAAACAAGACCATACGGCAATGTGAGCATTGCCAGAGCCACTTTAAATAGCCCGCCCCGGCACCGACAGGTGTGCCTGGGTCCTGGTGCCTGCCCGGTGCCGTCATTGGTGACAGGCACGCCTGGGTCCTAGTGCCCGCCTGCCTGTACATCTTGTTGGGATCCTACGCATAAACAGATTTGTGCGCCGCGGCGATCTTCTCATTCCCTGACAGCATGTGGTTTCATGCATCACTCCTGTGAGAACCCTAGCTGAAATCAGTATGACAAGCCTGGGTTCACACAGGAGCAATGGGGAAACTACATGTGATTTGGTCTGGAATCGCACTGCATTCCTGTTAAAAATGCCTGCCATTCTTTGCAGTGTGATTTGCATTATCGGTATCTGTGAATACTTGATCAAACGTATCGGTTCTCGTACTTACAGATAAAAAAGGGAAATCAGTGCATCCCTACTTACTATGGGTTTATTTATTTTTATTTTATTTTATTTTTTTATTTATTTAACTTTTTTTTTTACTATTTTATTTTGTACTTTTTTTTTTTAGGGGGGGGGGGGGCTTTGGCGAGATTTCAGAGGTCAAAACAGACCCCTGATGTCTCTTTTTTGAGACAGAGAAAGGGACTAAAGACAGTCCCTTTCTCTGCAGCCTAAGCTGCACAGTACATGAGTAAATGAGGAGTCTGTATGGAGACTCTTTTTCATTCATAAACTGAGATAGTAACCACAGTTTATTATGCTCAGCTATCATTGGCTATGGGGGGCGAATTGGTGCTGGGGGGTGCCAGTAAAATAGGAGGGAACAATTAATTTAAAAAAAATAGCGGCAGTGGGAGGTGGAGAGGCTAGAGAAAGCTAAGTGAAGAAGCGGCAGCAGTGAGCTCATCTTTACAAGGTAAAGCAAATAACAATAAATATAACTACACTACTAATAAAAAAATGTGTACGATACTTTTAAATATTTTAGCATTTCTGTTTTGGATGAGGCCACATAGAAGATGAACACAGCAGTAAAGAGTAAAATATTGACTGTACTTTGAGAATCTTGAAAAAGACACAAATAGCAACTAAGTCATTAGTGTACTAATACAGCTGTGCAATGGAAAGTTTGCTCATTTATGCTGTTTGGTACAGCAGTAGTACAGCTGTAGACAAAAAGTCTTCTCAAAGGATTATTACAGTGGCTCAGAGAATCATTGGTAACTAGTTTCTTACTCTGGAAGACTTATATCATACTTTTGTGTTAGTAGAGCATTAAATATAGTGAAGGATCCTCCTCATCCCTGTCATTGTCTGTTCATCCTCTTGCCATCTGGGAGGCATTATAAAAAAATGAAAGCCTGTACATTTAGGCTCAGGAATAGTTTTTATCCTGGTGCGGTGGTGTGTCTGAATCAATCACTTTATATTTATGAGCAATTGGTTATTTTGCATTCTGAATAGTTCTCTTTTAACCATTTAACCTCCCTAGCGGTCTGATTATGTTCATATTTCTGTGCTCAAAGCGGTACATTTTTTTGCATGGAAATATGTATTTTTTTTTATTGTAGGCCTGTAATTTTTAGGAATAACTCACTGAAATCTGTCTGAACAAGAGTCTAGTAAACATCCCGGGCATGTTAAAATTTGAAACACAAAATCATAAATTATAATTTAATAAATAATCATAAAAAATAATAATATAATAATAATACATTTAATTCAATAATATAATCAAACCAAAAACACTGAAATTTGAGAAATATAGCTCCAAGTTCGCACATCACTGAGCAAAGTCGCAAAATCGTTTTCAGTGTCTGATGACGAATTTTCCCCACGAATCATTATCACTCAATTCTGCAAGTGGTTCTGATTTACTATCGCTGTTCTCTAGCTGGTCTAAAACCAATTTTGACCTAAAGGGACGCTTTTTGGACGCCATGGAAGTTTCTCAGTTTCCAGGCAGAAAGAACAGTAAAAATGCAGGCAGGGCACAGGACAAAGCACTAGGGAGAAAATGTATGTGAAATGGTTTGATACAGTAATGTTTTACTATGTTATTTTAGTGAATTTAGTGAATGTCACTTTTTGTCATTTTCAAATTTCCCGCCGTTCCGTCTCCGTACGCCCCGACGCCGCAGGGGACGGAACCCAGAAGACAATACAGGGGACAATACAGGGGACACTGCAGGAGGGACATCACGGGAGTGCAGGACAAGGTAAGAGAAGAACAGATCCCGAAGCAGCGCTGCATGGTAAGCCCGAGTGTAGTCGGGGTTACCGCTTGTGGTACTGAAACTTTACCTCGAGCTACACTCGGGAATACCGCCATGGAGGTTAAGCTTCGGAAGATCTTACCCCGTTCATGACCAGGCCATTTTTTGCTATTTGACACTGTGCGGTCATACAACACTGTACCCAAACTAAATTAATACCATTTTTTCACACAAATAGAGCTTTCCTTTGCTGGTATTTGATCACAACTGGGTTTTTTTTTAATACATCACAGTGGCTAAATGGTTAGCACTTCTGCCTGGCAGCACTAGGGTTGCTGACTCGAATCCCAACCATGGCACCACCTACCTGGAGTCTGCATGTTCTCCCTGTGCCTGTGTGGGTTTCCTCCGGGTACTCTGGTTTCTTCCCACACTCCAAAGACATGCTGGTAGGTTAACTGGCTCCTGTCTAAATTGGCCCTAGTATGTGTATGCATGAAGGTGAATTAGGGGCCTTACAGTAGATTGTACACTCCTTGAGGTTTAGGGACTGATGTGAATGTACAATATATTATACATATATATATATATATGTAAAGCGCTGCATAAACTGATGGTGCTGTATAAGTACCTATAAAAAATAAATTACAATCAATCCTCTCCGACTTGCTGAAAACAAATGGATGGGGATCTATTCCCCTTCCATCCAGCAGATTGCATCAGATGGCAGTCGGGTGTAAACGGACAGGTGGTCTGTTTACATCTGACTTCACATAGAGGAAGGTGGTCCATTTCCATTCTGCATAAGTGGAGCAGACATGGACCTGTCATCCACCAGCTTAGCATGGATCAGCAGACAGGTCCCCTACTGAGCAAGTGGATTGTAGTCAGAGTCTTACCCATGTGAAAGGGGCCTCACTATGGGAGAGAAATCTCCTTAAAGGGGCAAATACAACAAAAATAAATTGGCATACCCTACTCTATCCACATCTATAAAAAAAGATTTCCTGCAATACTCTCCTTCTTGAGTTCCACTTTAAAGCTGAGAATGCTAATAGCCTTCCTCTCCTGATTCTTGGTTGCTGAGTATCATGCCAGGATATGCAAGAAGTGAAATAAATTAATTTCTAAACGGCATACTTGTCCTAGGTCAATGTCAGTGATAGCGAGAAAGAATTGAAACAAGATGACAGCCAGGAAACTGACAATTCTGAACAGTTGTAGTTTACATATTTCTCTCAGTACAGATGTTCTTTAATGGTATAAATACAGACAGCCATTTCATCAAAGCATCACAATAGAGCTGTACAAGACAATATAATTGTGCATAAATAAAATCTTTTTACAGGATTTTCTCATCAATAGATAGTGCTTATTAACAAATGTTGCCGAAAAATACAAATTCCTGGATATCATATGTACTTTCCTTGCTTACCTCCGCCTAGAATAAGTCTAGGGCAGACTGTGTTAATAACCTTTATGTAGTATAGAGCAAAACTACAGATTCTTTCAGCTTCCACAAAGAATTATTTTCATTTTTTTTCTAATTATTTTAAAAAATAACACCTGACGTGTTTTACTAGCCACGTTTTAAAAAATAAACCTGATTTACAACAGGATAAAATGTTGTTATCATAAATCTCTGCATGTAAGAGAACCTTATTTCTAGGCAAATTGCTTGCAAATGTATGGAGATGGTTTTTCAACGTTCATACCACCCTCTATTCTTTTGATGTGGATGTTCAATATAAATCTAAGTCTTTATGCTAAGCCCTAAAATTTAAGGATTCTGTTGCTTTGACTGTCTAGCAGAGTGATGAAAATCCCTACAACAACACACTGGCCCTGGCAATAGGGGTGAGAACATTTTCATTTATTTTCTGAAATACCTCAATCTTGCCAATCTTAGACAAAAATAAAACAGCGTTTTGTTTTTAAATTGCAGGGTTTTTTTTTAATTAAATATCCTGTATTACAACTGGATTGTCAAAGAACAAATTGTTTTCTTTGGTTAAAAACAATATCAGGTGTATTTACCCCCTGATTTAAGCTAAGGACTACAGTGGCAACATCTTTGAGTCCTCAGCCATAGATGGTGTCTTTTTTGAATGTTTATATATGGACTAATCAGTAGGAGCTCCAATATACTTGAGACTTGGGGATGGGGGGGAATAAACGGACCCTAGTGTAAACTAGCCTTAGTCCCCGGTCACAATGAATGCGAACTGGCATGTGATTTGCATGCCATGCGACTTGCAAATCGCATGCCGAGTTGCACCCTATTGTCCCCAATTACAGTACATTGGTCATGTTTCTACTACTTTTGGTGCGGTTTGCATAGACATCTGTGTCAGATGTCTTGGAAATTGCACCTGAAGTGGGCATGTCATTCCGACTTTAAAATCGTGCGACTTCACTGTAAATTCAGCATAACACACCTATGCCAAATTTTTTTTAAACACGCTTAGGTACAATAAGACGCATTCTGGTGCCTTTAGCCATTTATTTATTTCATTGGCCACTGACATGAATAAATGCTCAAGTGTTAAACACGCCTAGTGCGTAGGCTTGTTCAGATGCCTTTAGATGCGTTTGGCATTTTTTTTATGCCCAAAAGCTTCTCTCCTGAACACAATTCTTCTGCATTCAGAAAGAGCTTTGACCGCCTCTAAACACTACTGTTCTTATGTTCCTCTAAAACAGCGGTTCTCAACCTGGGGGTCGCGACCCCTTTAGGGGTCGAACGACCATTTCACAGGGGTCGCCTAAGACCATCGGAAAACACATATTTCCGATGGTCTTAAGAACCGAGACACCGCTCCTCTGACTCAGGCGATGTGTGGGCGGGATGATACGCTGCCCCTGTCACCTGGCCACACCTCCGGGATCACTCAACATCTCCGCCTCCTTGCCGCTGATTGGCCACCTGAACTGTAGCTCAGGAGAGGCACACAGGTGGCCAATCACCGGCGAGGAGGTGGAGCTTGGAGAGGAGGAGCCGAGCAGTAGCGCACGTAGATCAAAGAAGATCGAGGGAGCTGCCGGAGTAAGTGAAGAGGAGAGCGGCCAGAGAAGGGAGACAGCTGACAGGTAAGTGAGAGAGCGAGCCCAGGCTGGAGCAGGGGTCAGCAAGGTAAGTATCATTGGTGTCAGTGGGAGGAATAGTGCCCCATCATTTGTGTCACTAAAACCAATGATGGGGCACTATTTCTCCCACACATACACCAACGATGGGGCACTAATCCTCCCCCCACTGACACCAACGATGGGGCACTATTCCTCCCCCCCCCACTGACACCAACGATGGGGCACTATTCCTCCCCCCACTGACACCAATGATGGGGCACTATTCCTCCCCCCACTGACACCAACGGTGGGACACTATTCCTCCCCCCACTGACACCAACGATGGGGCACTATTCCTCCCCCCACTGACACCAAGAATGGGGCACTATTCCTCCCCCCCACCGACACCAACGATGGGACACTATTCCCCCCCCCACTGACACCAACGATGGGGCACTATTCCCCCCACTGACACCAACGATGGGGCACTATTCCTCCCACTGACACCAAAGATGGGGCACTATTCCCCCCACTGACACCAACGATGGGGCACTATTCCCCCCAATGACACCAACGATGGGGCTCTATTCCTCCCACTGACACCAACGATGGGGCTCTATTCCTCCCACTGACACCAACGATGGGGCTCTATTCCTCCCACTGACACCAACGATGGGGCTCTATTCCTCCCACTGACACCAACGATGGGGCTCTATTCCTCCCACTGACACCAACGATGGGGCTCTATTCCTCCCACTGACACCAACGATGGGGCACTATTCCCCCCACTGACACCAACGATGGGGCACTATTCCCCCCAATGACACCAACGATGGGGCACTATTCCCCCCAATGACACCAACGATGGGGCACTATTCCCCCCAATGACACCAACGATGGGGCACTATTCCCCCCAATGACACCAACGATGGGGCACTATTCCCCCCAATGACACCAACGATGGGGCACTATTCCCCCCAATGACACCAACGATGGGGCACTATTCCCCCCACTGACACCAACGATGGGGCACTATTCCTCCCAATGACACCAACGATGGGGCACTATTCCTCCCACTGACACCAACGATGGGGCACTATTCCTCCCACTGACACCAACGATGGGGCACTATTCCTCCCACTGACACCAACGATGGGGCACTATTCCTCCCACTGACACCAACGATGGGGCACTATTCCTCCCACTGACACCAACGATGGGGCACTATTCCCCCCACTGACACCAACGATGGGGCACTATTCCTCCCACTGACACCAACGATGGGGCACTATTCCCCCACTGACACCAATGATGGGGCTCTATTCCCCCCACTGACACCAATGATGGGGCACTCTATTCCCCCCACTGACACCAATGATGGGGCACTATTCCTCCCACTGACACCAACGATGGGGCACTATTCCTCCCACTGACACCAACGATGGGGCACTATTCCTCCCACTGACACCAACGATGGGGCACTATTCCTCCCACTGACACCAACGATGGGGCACTATTCCTCCCACTGACACCAATGATGGGGCACTGTTCCTCCCACTGACACCAACGATGGGACACTATTCCCCCCACTGACACCAACGATGGGGCACTATTCCTCCCACTGACACCAACGATGGGGCACTATTCCTCCCACTGACATCAGTGATGGGGCACTACTCCTTCCACTGACACCAATGATGTGGCACTAGTCCTCCCACTGCAAAATTACAGTTACGAAGTAGCAACGAAAATAATTTTATGGTTGGGGGTCACCACAACATGAGGAACTGTATTAAGGGGTCGCGGCATTAGAAAGGTTGAGAACCACTGCTCTAAAAGCATATGTGTGCATGAAAGCATAGGCTTTTATTGAGGGTCGTAGGCAAAAAACATCAAAACCCTGAAAATGTTCAGTTTAGGAGCAGCAGTGTGCATGAGGCCAAAGTCTTTTTTGTGAATGTGGTCATGGACAACAGTATGCAGACTTATACAGTAAGAAAAGCAAATGGTAAAATCTGTACTAACTATATTATTGAACCTTTGATGGATCTAACTTAAAAAC